GCCATTTGTTGAAGATGTTCTCTTTGTTCCATCGCATAAATTTGGATTGTCAAAAATCAGGTGTTCATAGGTGTGTGGGGTAATAATATCAGGGTTTTCAATTCTATCCCATTGGTCTACCAGTCTCACCTGCTGCCAATACCAAGCTGTTTTCAGGACTATAGCTCTGTAATAGAGCTTGAAGTCAGGGATGGTGATGCCTCCAGAAGTTCCTTTATTGTATAGTGATGATTTGGCTATCCTGGGTCTTTTGTTTCTCCATATACAGTTGAGAATTGTTCTTTCAAGGTCTGTGAAGAATTGTGTTGGGATTTTGTTGGGGAGTGCATTCAATCTGTAGATTGCTTTTGGCAAGATTGCCATTTTTACTATGTTGATCCTACCTATCCAAGAGCATGGGAGATCTTTCCATTTTCTGGTATCTTCTTTAATTTCGAGAAAGATGCATTTTGTGGGTTTTTTTTTATTAGTTCAAATTAGGAACAAGCTTGTTTCACATGTCGATCCCTTCTCCCCCTCCCCTGACCTACCCCCCCCCACTCCATTCACCCTCCACTCCCCAGGCAGGGTAGAGCCCTCAACCAGGGCTCCACAAAGTCCACCACATCACCATGGGCTGGGCCCTTCATTTGTTTTTTTTTAAAGCCAGAATTCCTTCTTCCAGTATTATTAACCCCACCCCAACCCCACCCCTGCAATACAGTCTGCTCACATGACTTCTTCAGAGAAATGTCATTTTCCTACATCCTGTTTGGCCTTTCTATACTACCTAACACATTTAAGTCCTCAAATAAAAGCCAGGCATGGTAGCACATACCTTTAATCACTGCACTTGGAGGCATAGGCAGAAGGATCTCTCTGAGTCCAAGACCAGCCTAGTGTACAAAGTGAAACACTCAAAAAAGAAAAATACACAAATGAAACATCTTCAAATTGCACTTCACTGCAATTATATACAACCCTCTTCGAAAATCATGAAAACATTAAGCCAGAAGAGGCAATATTTTTTAAAGTAGAAATTATAGTTTATTTACTGTATTTGACAATAGTTACAAAAATTACAAAAGGAAAAGTACAAGAAGAAATAAACCTTTAATCATGACAGCAATGTACTACAAAACTATGTCTTCCTTCCATCTACTAATGACTCTGTCTTGGGGACTGGGGAGTAAACCCAGGGCTTTGGCATGTTATGTAAATGCTTTACTTAAGCCATACCCTCAGCCCCCTTAATATGAAACTTTCAAAATATAGACATTACCTCCTTCATAGCCAAAAATTTTAAGGCATCTAGGAAAATGGAACAAATGTTTACCTCTCAGTTCCCTACTGACAGAAAGAAACTCAAGCCCTGCTATTATATAAACACAGTACTTACATTTCAATTATAAACAAAAAAGCCAACAGAATTTTTTTCTGAATACAGTAAGGTACACCATGGTCTACAGAGCTAGTTCCAGTACAACTAGGGCTACATAGAGAAACCCTGGCTCAAAAAAACAAAAAGTATTAAGTTCAGAGCATTTAAAATACAGAAAAAAAAAATGTTTTTCTTAAAAGAGAGAGACACATGGCTGAGCTATTTTAAGTACACACTTTCCGACTCTCTTCTTTTACAGTGACCAGCCCTGACAAATACACTTCTTTTATATATGCATCAGGGTTATTTAGTAGGCTACCATATTCTTACCACATCTGATTTGTAAATTGAAGGGCCAGAGGTGGCAGATGGCTCAGTGGGTAAAGTGCCTGCTGTGCAAACCAGAGAACACATGTTTGGATCCCCAGTACCCTGTGTGAAATCCAGAACAGCAGCGAGCATCTGTAATCCAGGCACTAGGGGTAGAAGATAGATGCCCATTGGCCAGCCAGTCTAGACAAACAAGACCCTGTGTCACAAGGTAAAGAGCCAACAGAAGAAGGAACCCAACAATGACCTCTGGCCTCCACATGAGAGTTCCTAGACACAAACACAGATCACCCCTCAAAATAAGTCCATCACATCCAAAGTTCAGGAATATAACTTTCCTGTAACTCACCTTTTTCATTTTCTTTGTATCTACAAACGCCAACTGGAATCTCAGCTTGAAACATGGAGCCCACCATGATTTCCTATTTTAAACATAACAAAAAGACCTGGTGATACACATCTTATATTCATGTTTAGCTTCACTATCTTCTTGAGTAAACTCACTCTGGTCTCTCTGTCATAAAACCAATTACTACCTCATGGTAGTATTGTGAGGATGAATGAGTTAATAATAGCTAGGACCTTACATATATGACTGGATGGGAAATAATAATAATGAGTAAAATGTAACATAAACAATAGTTTTGATCAGCTAATTAAAATAATTAAAAAAATACCCTGAAAAATAGAAAATCAACTTTGGGTGTTTTTCAGAGTATTTACATTTATGATTCTTTGTGAAGGCAGTATAAGCACCACTAGCAAAATTGTTAGAAATTGAAGTCTTAGGCCCCAAAGGCAACTCTAACTCACACTGAAGTCTGAGAAACAAAGGTTTAAGATAAGGGGACAACAACACGGTATGAACATGCAGCTGAGCAGTGGTGGTGCCTTTAATCCCAGCTCTTGGGAGACAGACACAGACACATCTCAGAGTTCAAGGCCAGTCTGGTCTACAGAGTGAGTTCCAGGACAGTCAGGGCTACACACAGAGAAACCCTGTCTAGAAAACAAGAACACCCCCTACCCCTCACCCCCCCACACAAGTATGAACATGCTGAAGAAGTTTAGATGACTCAGGGTTTAAAAGCGTCTCTATTGCTATTGTCACTTCTTTATTAACAGCATCTTACTCTACTTCAAGGACATGCTCAATTAAATGAAGCCGTTTTTCTACTACAGAGGAAAACCAGACTTTCTCACGGTCAGGTTTCAATAAAGATCACATATGCTAAACTTCCTCCTCATTGTTTGGCATTCTCTTAATGGTGTCCACTATAGTCCCTCTGCTGTCTCTATTCCTCTTTTTACTTTATTCACCAAAGAGTAGCAGTCATTCTTTGACTTTCACCCCAGAATGGATAATTACTCCCTATAGATTCATACATGGAATTCCCCCTTTAGTTAATCATCTACACTATATACTCTGGCACCTCCCCAGATGGGAAAAAATTGCATACAATAGGGAAGAAGGTGCAGAAGGTAATGTCTCAATCTCTGAAGACTCATTACAGCTCCTCTTCTATAAGGAAACATCAACACTATAGCACAAACAATAAAAACCCAGAGATAGATATTGGGATTAAAGCTGAAGATGAGATAAGCAAAGCAGCCAGCCACTAGAGTACTCACCTCTACCAATGCTCAGACTGAAGGGGCAATCAAACTACACTGCTGCTCAGACTCACTGAGACTCAAATGCATTCCTGTCTCCTCTAGCCTTATATTTCTCTCTCTGCCCAGCCTTATCACTCCTGTCCCCACCCTGGGGACAGGATAGTGCTGGGATTAAAGGTGTGGGCTGCTTCTCTTTTAGACTGATTCACGCCCATGTAGCCCAGCGTGGCCTTGAACTCACAGAGATCCATCTGCCCCTGTCTCCCAGGTGACAGTATTAAAGACATGTGCCACCACTGTCTGGCCTCTATGGCTAGCTAGTGTGACTAGCTTTTCACTCTAATCTTCAGGCAAGCTTTATTTGTTGTATCATAAACAAAATATTACCACACAGCCGGGCACTTGTGGCACACGCCTTTAATCCCATCACCTGGGAGGCAGAGACAGGTGGATCTCTGAGTTAGAGGCCAGCCTGGTCTACAGAGTGAGTTCCAGGACAGGCTCCAAAGCAATACAGAGAAACCCTGTCTCAAAAAACAAAAAATAAATAAACAAATAAATATTGCTACACAACATTCTCCTGAAGGTAGTCAAAGTTGTTCTGTGATGACTACTATGTTTTAATAGGAACAAATATACATGCAGGCAAAACACCCATACACATGAAATAACGAAATAAACAAAACCCAGGAAGAAAAAAAAAAAAAAAAAAACCAATTACATAATGTACTATGATTTCCTAAGAGGTTCAACTCTTATGCAATACCATTAAATTAAACCCTAAAAAATTTAACTGTGTAGTTAATTAAATAATGCTATGTAATATTTTAAGGAAAAAGAACCTAATGTTTCAAGTTTACTTTTAGAAACTAGTCGTATGTTTGTAGAGCAGCCTAACCCACAACACCAACTTTTATTACTTTAGGACTAGATGATGAGAAACTTGGATTTCTAATATTAGTTTGAGTATCAATAAACTCAGCAAACCCCATTCTACCTACACTATCATTTTATGGTAAATGTATTTCTTAGTTGGATTTATTAATGAGGAGCTTGAACAAATGTTCACAAAATGGTTAATGCCACAAAAAAGGCTAATACACTGACTTCATCAAAATAAATTATTCATTAAAAATATTCTTGGCTTTTAGAATATTACTGTAAGTTTTGGAAAAATACCTTTTTCCAGTCTTCTGATGGAATATAATCTTCATCTTCTTCAGATTCTTCTTCTATTTCACTATCTAGAATACATACGAGAATGATACTATAAAATGGGCACTTATCCTGTCCATATCTATGTATCTTTGTATTTTTATACCTACCATCAGATTTTTAAATATCTTGGTCTGCTAAATCAGACCAAGATATTTAAAATCAAATAATGAACACTGTATCTAAAACAAGACAGTAACAACAAAAAATTCCCCGAATAAAAGAAAAACTGTGATTTTCCTCAGCTACACAAGGAGTTCACCAGAGTTATTCTCAGAAAACATATTTGGGTGGAAGGAGAAAGTTAACTCCTGTTGTCCTCTGACCTCCACACGTCATCCTACCACAGTGGAAAACTGGTGAACTATATTAGCATGTATTCATACACCAAGAACCGACCCCAGCTTTTTACACCCAGGAACCACAAGATTAGAGAAGACAACACTACAAATACATAACTATGTACTGCCCGATGTCATCTTTGGTCAATAGACTCTATAATTGTGGTCCTGCCAAGATTATATCATCTTGAGGTCCTGTGTCCACATTAGTCACACAACCAAGAAACCTGACAACATTATTTCTCAGAATATATCCCGGTTGCTGAGTGACACTTGAGTATACATAAAGAAGATTCAGAATCAAACAAAGAAAAGTAGAAAACAAAAACTTCAAGACTACACAAAATAAAAGAACACACCCACATTCAGGTGAAGCGTAAATGTTGTGATATATGCACTGAGAACAGAACCTTCATTTTGATACTCTAGTAACCCCTAACAAAATCTATTTACCTTTGAAAGCAATTCCATAATAAGTGAATTCAAGCATCAATAAAAGCACATTAGAATTTCAGGTATTACAGAAGAGTGAAAGTTACATTCTAACTAAGACAATGTAATACACATACTTGTATCAAAATATTTACAACGACGTGGGCGAATTATTTCCTGAGCATCTTGGGAAGTAACAGACTGTGAGGGATCATCATTGGAAGACTGTGTTTCATCCTCCTGGCCTGATGAATCCTTTATGTTCTCTTCCTATAGAATAAGAAAATGTATATGAAGAATGCTGTTGCAAGCCAGTATTCAAATTGTGTTTTAGAGGTAACTGTAAGATCATAATAAACCTGCCAAATGCAATGTGATTTCCTAAGGACCTCTTGGAACGAGGGTAAAACCTTAGAGCTGAAGTCCCAGCTGTTTACAGTTTAGCTAAGTGCACTTAGCAGTGCTAGTTTTGGTAATGCTATGTGACACCGGGTATTAATATTAGGAAGCAGTGTGAAACTCTTATCTAAAATTATTTTTAAAAATGAATAGAGAACTGCCAGGCAGCCTATTTAATTTAAAGGTAACAGCAGTTTTTTCTTTCTTTCTTTCTTTCTTTTTTAAGTTGGTACTATATAGAAAAAGCAGAAAGAAATCTGGAACGACAGTACAAATTTAACACACTGGAATGAATTACAACAGATTTTCAATTTTTATATCACACATTTGTGTAGTTTTTTTTCTGAAATTTAATCTTACTGTACAAACTATATTTAGAGCTTAGTACTATCTGTGGTTTCACAAAGACAACAGGAATTCTGGAACATAAATATTCCACAAATAGGATAAAAACACTGAATCAGCACTAACTTACTTTATTTTCCCCACTACAGCCACTGTTGTCATCATTATCAGCATCTTCATCATCTTCACCTTCTTCCTCCTCTTCCTCTTCCTCCTCATCTTCTTCAGGTAACCGAGTGCTGTCATAACCATAGAGGCTGAGAAGCTCGTGGATTGGCATGTCGCCTTCCTAAGTACACAAAAAAGTCAATTTCTGAAATCAGTGATTTCCTATTTCCATGTTACAATTTACAAATCTGTACAGTACTAAACTGACAGATTTTTTTCTTTATACCATGTATGTGTTTATACCTAATATGTTCAGTATTTTCAAATTATGAAAAGGAGAAAGAAAACCCAATTTTTTACTCCTATAAACTGACCAATTTCAATTGGTCCATAGATTTGTCAATACTTTGAAATCAATTACAATTTTTACAATAATTCAGTCTACACACCACAGTTAGTTAGCCCTTACATATGGATGATTAACAACAGTACCCTAAATAATTTGGGGGCAAAGAGAGTAATTAGAAAACAGCATGTCATCTAATTCAATAAATCCAGAAAGGGAGATTGAATTCCCTACTCAAAGTACACTGCAGGAACAACAACTACAAACAAAATGATACTAGATTAGAAAGCTACCTATATTTTTCTAAAGTAATGTTCAATTTACATATAAAAGCATGTCAGCATTGATTGTCTACAAAACTATTACGTTAATCCCATAACACAGATGAGGAAACATGAGCACATACATTAAAATTTTCCTTAAAAAAAATTAAACAAGTTACATTACAATATAGTCAGATTTTCATCATCTGACTCTATAAGTTAATCATTTTATTAGTGTATCTTAGGGTTTCAGTCAGGACCTTCATTGATCTCTCCAAAAGACATATCCACTATGAATAAAATGAAGAAGTAGCTTTATTTGGGAAAATAAAACCCATTTTCTGCAAAAGGCAATCACTAATCAAATAATATCAAGCATCAGAAACAATAAAATCCTGATTATAAAAAAGTCAAAGTTTAGCCCAATTTATCTGAACATATTATACACACACATTCTAAAGAAAAACAAGTGTCAATTCAAAACCTAGAGAAATGGTGCTCTTTATGACAATTTTTTTAGTTTCCCATCATTATGTACCATACTGATAAACAGAAGTTTAGTTCAGATACCAAACATATTTCTACAGAGGGGATATATACATTGGAATGTATAAAGTAAGTTGGTAACACAAAGTTTATCTCCATTCACTCAATCTATGTACAGTGTGTGTGGGGGTGCTATATAAGTCACTTAGTGCTCATGTAGAGGACCTGGGTTCAGTTCTCAGCACCTAAACTGGGTAGCTCACAACTACCTGTAACTCTAGTTCCAGAGGAATGTAACCTTCTTGGGCACCTACATGTACCCATGCACACACACCCCAACACACACACACACATGTATGCACATGCACACAGACAAGTTTTTTAAAAAAAGAAAAAAATCTAGTAATAATCTGTAACTTCCTCACAGGAAGCAAATAACATTTGATACTTGTACTGCACACTATAAATCAACATGTAAGCCTATATTGGAAGAGAGTTTAGTTCTGAAGGGTCCAATAATCTATAGACTCTATAGTTGGACAAGCAATGGCTTGTATCCAGCAAGGCATCACCATGCCAGATGAGATACTTAATTGGCAGCCATCCTGTGTTATTTTTAAAGTATAACCAAAACCATACTTGATGTATCTAAAAAATTGGCCCATAGAAATCTGAGCTATAACAAGGACACTGAAATTAAAGACTAAGAGTCAGTACTTAAAAAGAACAGAACAAAGACCAGTAAGAAAAGGATAGAGAAAGAGACATTTTTGCATATAGTGACAAACAGCCTCCCCACAGCATCTCGTAGTGGTCAAATATCTGAGCCAGGTGCTTTGATTTCACTTTCTCTAAGAATGAAAGCAGTCAGAAGCATACAATCTCCACAGATCTAACAGTATCAGAAGGTAATGTCTGCTACTTCTATTTTCTTATTAAGGAAGCAATACAGACACAGAGCACATGTTGTTTGAAAGACTTTGATCCCTGGACCTAATTCCAGCTCACGTAATTTTCCTTTAACCCAGTAGGCATCCCAAATAAAGTGGATTCGGCAACTGAAGTTAATTAGTAAGGGCCATTAAAGAGTCAAACTGAAAGAAACACTAACATGGAGTTTGCAACTATCATTCTTATCAGGTTAAGAATTCATTTTTAGTTCATTTTTCAGGACAATGGATGCTACTCAAAGTGAAAGTGAGTGTTAAGTGACAATTTAACAGCGTTCATTTAAATGATCATACTCTATTTTGAAATCATTTTCTGTTTAGACCACAATACTTGGTCCACTCTACAACATCAATCAAACAAACCCTTTTGGGGGCTTGACTGTTGATCTGTCTTATTTAAAGAGCATTAAAGTCAGCTTGAAGAACAGGATGCTGGTCTTATCTCAGAATCTCTGACCTAACTAATGTCTTAGATGAGGGGTCTCTAATCTGTATTTGTTTTGTTTTAAAGACAGGGTTTCTCTGTGTAGTCCTGGCTCTTCTCAAACTCAGGTCCACCTGCTCTGCCTCCTGAGTGCTGGGATTAAAGGCAAGTGCCACCACTGCCAAGCTCCTAATCTGCATTTTAAAGAATTTCCAAGTAAGGCTCTTTACGTGAGTGTAAGACAATCTCAAAGGTGCAGGGTAAAATACCAGTAAAATCAACCTTTCCAGTGGGAGAAGATAAAGCTTGGACATTGTTTTTAAAATCTTTCACTAATATAACAAGAAGCTCAGCATACAAAAGGTTAGAAAGGAATTTCACTCAGAAAAACAGTGGTTAAATCATGGATTGTTTTTCCTCCTGTAACAAGGTAAGAAGTACAAGTCACTTCATAAAATACTATTTCTCAAACACCTCCAGTCCTGTCTAAGAAAGGGCAGAGACTGTCAAAGTGGCTTCCTTAATACCTTACAAACAGAGTCTACCAGAAGAACCAGTGATAGAACTAGCACACAGAAAAAGCCATTAAAGTCAACTAATGTTAAGCAGGGGGGAAAAAAATCAGGCTGGTGTGGTTGGCGAATGCCTTTAATCCCACACCGGAAGCAGAAGCAGGTGAACCTCTGTGAAATTTAAGCCAGAGTGGTCTACAAAGTGACCAGGACAGCCAAAAGCAACACAGAGAAATCTTGCCTCAAAAAAACCAATAAATAAATAAACAGATAAAAAATCAGACCCTTCTGATAACAGCAGGCATGCTTTCCATAATAAGTGAAAACTATACCCCTCCCCCATATAATTTCAAAAGGATATGGGTTATAGAAAGATCAGTAGCAGATTAATCACAGATGTATTGGGTTTTCTGGGGTCTTTTTTGTTGTTGTTGTTGTTTTTAAACTTAATTTCTGTTACTTAAATTTCTTAAATGACTAGTTTTTATCCAGGTCTGATCCTTAGTTACTTTTTGTGGTCAATTTTGCTCCTCATCAGAACTACTCTTGGTTGTTCATTAGTATGCAAACTAAGTTAATATTTTTTCAAAGCAAGCTGTATTTTCAGAATGACTGAAAAGGTACAACAGTCTGAAACACATGAAAAATATGATTGGGTTTAGAATCTAGCACTACCTGAAGGGGGAAAAAAGAAAAATGATGTCTGAAATAATAGAAATGTTTACAGCCCTGGTTTACCAAACACAAGTACCAAGTTGTCATATTGTAGTTGATAAAAATGTACAGGGAACATGACAATAAAAAGTTCAGATAAATAACCAGGTACAGTGGTGTATGTAGGTCTGTAATCCCAGGATCAGGGAGACTGAGGCAGGAAGATTTCAAACTCTAGGCCAAACTGGACTACAACAGGGAATGCAAGGCCAGGGTGGGGTGCGGTACAGAGCTGAGTCCATGTTTCAAACATGATAAACAGGAAAGCATAAATGCAAGCAGAATAGATAAATTCCTACTAATATTACATTGTTTAAGTCTTTTAGGGGCAGGGTTTTATTACATCTACACTGGCCAGGGGAACTCTGTAGCCTAAACTAGTTTCCAACTCCTAGTCTTTTTGCCCTAGTTCATGGGTGCCTGAGTTAAAAGTGTATGACACCTGGAAGCCAATTTTATTAGTGACTACAGTAGTCTTAGCAGCAGACCCTCTCTGAGAGAACAGTCTACATCTTCCAGCACTCTATCCCTGATGGGATTTATTGAATTCCTCTAGTCTCTCAGCTAAAAGCTGAACACATGACCGAGCTCCCTCCTAGTCCTTCAGAGCATTTGTCTCACAGCACAAATGGAAAAAAAAAAAAAAAAAAAACCACTAAAGACACTAAATCTTGGGTCAAAGTATACAACTTTGACATTTTTTCTATGTTTGCATGTGTGTCACTTCTAACAACAGATTGGCAGATATCATCTGTGCATGGGGACAGGGTAAGAGTGGGTATGGTATATGCAGCATTCAGACGCCAGAGGACTTTGGGTGGTCCTACTCTATCAGGACATTATTGTACTAGGGTCTATCTGTCACCCATTTTAGAGAATATTACATTATCAGAAGTATACACTCTACCAAGTATTAAGGAACCTCCTTGAATTGAGTGTCTGGGAAACCCCAAGGATCATCCTTTCTTAGCACTCCCAATACCATGATGCCTGGGTTACCTGGTTTTTTACATGGGTGCTAGGGATACAAACTAAGGTCTGAACACTGTGCCATCCCCCAAGCTGATGAAATCTTTGGAGAGACTGAGAAGTTTACAGACTTTGCTAGGTCTTTGGGTCCAAGCTAACAAGGAACAGGAATATCTGCCCACTAGGTAATGCTTTGATCCCCTTATCTCACAAGAACCAAGCTGAGAATGCTCAAAGTACTATCTACAATCTCATTGATCTTCAACAGGGATACCTCTTAATTAGTACCAGGCAGACATGGATTAAGAACATTCAGCTTCTCTGTTTGTAGTATTTTATCAAAATTGGCTAAACAAAAATGCATTTGAATGTTTCACACAACACAGGAACAAGGTGATGAAAAGTTGATTTGAAAAAGGAAGCCCAATCATATTAAAAAGCAGAAATTAAGGTATCACTTGAGCCCCAACTCCTGCCTATTTTCCTGCCCTTAATCACATGTTGTATACAATAACAC